CTCTCCTGCAGATTGGGCTCTTCGAACTGCAAAACAGCAACCCGGCTGTCCGCTGCACATACATCCCACGAACTTGAAATGGCCATGAGATCCTGGATCAAATCAGCAGCTGATGCTACCACCAAGCCAGTCCGAAGGGAAATCTGCAAAAGAACGTGCGGTTCGAAATGCGCAAAGTTGGCTAGCAACTGTGCAACTGTCCAGGTCTCTGAACAAGAGCCTTCAATCGGATGGTGATCATCCGCTCGCTGCAAAGCATACTTCATAGGGTGCATGCACACCGGCGCTGGTTGGAAGGAGATCCTATCCCAAAACAACCTAGCATCAACAATCGAAATGAAACAATCTTCCTTCACAATGACAGCATTATGCACAGTGAGACGCTTGTTCCAAATCCCTTCAACAAAATGCTCAACATTGATGGACATTCGATTGATTGCCTGGAGCCCTACAAGAATGGCAGTGGCGGCTTGCGGGACCGAGACTGCGTTGCCCAATCCATGAAACGCTTCGAACGGGTCCGAAGGCAGCGAAATGCGGTTGGTGCCTCCCAATAGTGCTACAATCCGAGCTGGATCGATGAAAGCGAAAGAACCCTGGTATTCCTCCAAGCAAGCAAACAAACCCTTATTGGCAACATGGTCAGGATCCAATTCATGTTGTTTACCGTACATGGCACAAAAGGTCGGAAGCGGTTCATGCAGTGGGGCAGCTCTCTGTGCGAGGACTTGCTCCTGGGAACGGTCCGACATGCATCTGGCCTTCTTCGAGGGAGGCAAAAGGTGATGCGCACCATAGATGGTCTTCAGGTCATTTGTCAGGTGAAGTGCATCTCGAAATTCCTGAGGCAGATAAAACCGATAAATGGAGTCATGCCATGAAACCCTTGACGAAGCTTGGAGTACATATGCACGCTGATTGGGATCGAACGAGTGATCTGCACGGATCCAAGCCGAAAACCACCTATCCCTGTGGTTATCTGACAGACGATGAAACTGAAGATTCTGTTGCCAGATGCGCTTATATCCTCCTAATTTGAGCATGTGTGAGACCAACCCAAAGTGCTGATGATGAATGATCTCATCAGCGCATTCGAACAGTTGAATGCTCGGGCGGAGAACAAAGACTATGACCAGCGCTTCGATGAATGCATATCCAGCATCTGAGTTGAGGCCCTTCGACTTTCCTGCTTTGCTCCAAGAAACGCAAGGTGGCGATGCCGTACCAATCGAGTTCATTCGAAAATCGACCTGATGGATCAAGGAAGTGTCCCCTACCGAGGTGCAAACCCCTATGTGTCCACACGGATTCCATGAGCGAGCTGGTTGGGATTTGCCAAGATGATGTGGTTTACCAACCTGGTGGGACCACAAACTCATCGTGACTGGGTCACTGTCAACGCATACTTGTTGCCCCAATGGCGGAAAGGAAACATCATGAAAGATGGCTTCCATGGCTTGAGACCAACCATTGAATGATCCAGCAAAAAGGTGAAAGGAATTCACCGGGATGCTCCAATCCCACTCGGCCACTGGGACGATACACGTGTTCGCCTCAAAATGAAAACCATTCTCATGCTCGGATTCAATCTTGCCAAAAAGGGTGACGGAATCACCCACACACATGTTGTGAGCTCTCGTGGAAAGGAGCGGCACATGTACATCCCATGGAGCATGCGGCTTCACCACAAATCCCAAACCCGGTTGGAAGAAGTGCGGACACAGCCTCACCAAATCACCTTCAGTCGACACAACACTACCCTGAAGCAAGCACTTATTGGAAAATCTGATCATGAAACCAGGTGTTCCCAAAGCACCAGCAACATCCAACAGCTTGGATTTCCACGGGTCCACAATCTTTTTGGCGATCATTGACATCAATCGACTCAGAACTTCGTCACCATGGCCTGTCGATACCACATGTGAACTCATTGCCACTCAGACCGAGATGCGGCCCGGGTGCAGGGCCACTTAGTGGACACCACCCCCCGATCGCGAGATCAGGCCAGTGGCCCTAGGTGTCTCGTGCACCTTCAGCCCCACGGCCTTGAGCCTAGAGAGCTCGGTAGTCTATTCTGTTCATTTTGGGTGGAAGAGAACAGGGCTTGAGGCTTGGACCCACTGCCATATTATAACCCTTATCCCAGAATTTCTCATTGAATGCGTGTCCAACTCAATGAGCTACGAAAAAACATGCCTGAAAGGGTCGTGAGAGCTCGTTGAAAGGGTCGTGGGATCATTTTGTGGCCCTGTTGAGTTGTTGGGTCGTCTCATCCGCGTCCATGTCTCCGTGCCATCCATGTCCATGTTTCTTGAACACAGGGTGTTCCAGTGAGTTCGGTGAAATGATGTTCATTGCTGTGCAACTCTTGCATGTCAATGATAACTCTTGAAAATTCCCACGCACACTGGGTCGACTGCCTGGACGCAGTGCACCAGGATCGCGTTGTTGGCATCTCTGGCCTCAAAAAACTGTATATTGAGCAAGATCCCACGTTACGGTGTGTGTGTGTCATGTGAACTCGCTGTTGCGCTGGCTTCGGCAACTTGTCAACTTTCGGACCTTAGCTTGTGCACATACACGCACACGCGTTCTACATCAAACTAGGTTCAGGTGCCCAGGTTTGTTACAATGAGGTTTGTTGGTTGTCCCTCTTCACTTGGTTTCCCTTCATCGACAACGACATACACTCCTTTGGCTGTCTTGTCTCGCTCATCATTCATCTGTTCCTTTTGCGCGCACATGTGCTTCGCATAACCCCCTTTCCGGGCAGGATGGGGGGGAGGCGTGCGTGTGGAGCCCTTGGAGTCATAGGGGACCTTACGGCACGGTCTGTATGGCGGCAGGAGGACCAGGCATCTTGCTGCTGACCTGATCTAATAAAGCTAGGCAACAAGATGGGATGGTGGAGTTGGCCACTCCACTGTACCTGCCACCTGTGTTTTGAGCTTGTGTCTTGTAAACTGGTAGTGCTGGCCTCCAGCCTGGTACGATGGCCTTTAACGTGCTAATGATGACCTCCAACCTTGTTGCTTGATGCGTTTTGAGTTTGTGTCTTGTAAACTAGTAGCGCTGGTCTCCAACCTGATGCAATGGCCTCCAACCCATTAGCGATGACCTCCAACCTTGTTGCTTGGTGCAGCTTTATGTTTGTGCGCATAACCTACTAGCGATGGCCTCCAAACTTGGGCGATGGCCACCAACTTCCTAGCGATGGCCTCTAACCTACCCTTGCCGTTTTACTCAGTCCATTTTTTACCTAGGTCGCCGTGTGGCAAACCGCAACCAAATCCGCACGCAGTTCATCAAGTGTGTCTGACCTTTGCGTCAGCCCACGGTGTACCCGAGGAGTGTCCCCTGTGGCCCCGTCAAACGGGGCTATGTCTACCGTGTCCCCTGCCCGGATACAGAGCAGTCCGCAGCGGACAAAGCAGGCTTGAGCCAAAGTCCTTTGCCAAGGGCACGCCATAAGGTGACCGCAGCGGTCAAGAGTAGGCAGCCTTCGGGCACGCCATAACGCGGTCGCAGCGACCAAAGCTTGTTCAAGGTCCATTGGGACCTGGTTGGATCCTTAATTCCCTCTCCTCCCCTTTCCCTCTCCCCTCTTCTTGCTCTTTGGGGTGTCCCTGACTTCCAACCAGGTACACCCCTCTCCTTGGCGTGTCCCTGGACGTCATTTCGTACCCCTTCTCTTCTCTTTGTCTTCTCTTTCTCTTCTCTTTCTCTTCTCTTTTTCTTCTCTTTCTCTTCTCTTTTTCTTCTCTTTCTCTTCTCTTTCTCTTTCTCTTCTCGTTCTCTTCTCTTTTTCTTCTCTTTCTCTTCTCTTTTTCTTCTCTTTCTCTTCTCTTTCTCTTTCTCTTTCTCTGTCTCTTTCTCTTGCTCTTGCTCTTTCTCTTTCTCTTTCCCTTTCCCTTCCCTTCCCTTCCCTTCCCTTCCCCTCCCCCTCCCCCTCCCCCTCCCCCTTCCGCTTCCGCTTCCGCTTCCTCTTCCTCTTCCTCTTCCTCTTCCTCTTCCTCTTCCTCTTCCTCTTCCTGTCGCTCGCTCGCTCTCTCTCTCTCTCTCTCTTGCTTGGGTGTCCCAGGATGCTTTCGTCATAGCTGGGAACCCTTCTCCTCTTATCTTGGTGTGTCCTTGGACGCTTGGGTCGTAGCTGGGAACACCGTCCTTTATTTTCCTTTTCCTTTCCTTTTCCTTTTCTCTTTCTCTGTCTCCCCTCCTTCTTCGCGCGCAGCGTGCTTGCAAGCAAATGAGGTTTTTACAACAGGTGTTTTAATGAGGTCCGGCTTTTCATTCATCGGTTTGTCCCCTTTCATCTGGTTCCCTCTTCATTGGCCCCCACAGACTTCTGTCCCTTCTTTTCTTTCATGTCCTGCTGTCTTCACGTCTTGTCATCCTCATCCTTTTTCTCCTTTTGCGCGCACTTTCGCCCGGACCTTAGCTTGTGCACATACACGCACACGCGTTCTACATCAAACTAGGTTCAGGTGCCCAGGTTTGTTACAATGAGGTTTGTTGGTTGTCCCTCTTCACTTGGTTTCCCTTCATCGACAACGACATACACTCCTTTGTCTGTCTTGTCTCGCTGATCGTTCATCTGTTCCTTTTGCGCGCACATGTGCTTCGCATAGCCCCCTTTCCGGGCTTGACGCGGGTGCCTCCTTTCCGGGCAGGATGCACGCATGCCTCCCTTTCGGGAGGCGTGCGTGTGGAACCCTTGGAATCATAGGGGACCTTACGGTCTGTATGGTGGCAGGGGACCAGGCATCTTGCTGCTGACCTGATCTAACAAAGCTAGGCAGCCAGATGGGATGGTGGAGTTGGCCACTCCACTGCACCTGCCACCTGTGTTTTGAGTTTGTGTCTTGTAAACTGGTAGTGCTGGCCTCCAACCTGGTACGATGGCCTTTAACGTGCTAATGATGACCTCCAACCTTGTTGCTTGATGCGTTTTGAGCTTGTGTCTTGTAAACTAGTAGCGCTGGCCTCCAACCTGATGCAATGGCCTCCAACCCATAAGCGATGACCTCCAACCTTGTTGCTTGGTGCAGCTTTATGTTTGTGCGCATAACCTACTAGCGATGGCCTCCAAACTTGGGCGATGGCCACCAACTTCCTAGCGATGGCCTCTAACCTACCCTTGCCGTTTTACTCAGTCCATTTTTTACCTAGGTCGCCGTGTGGCAAACCGCAACCAAATTTGTACGCATTTCATCAAGTGTGTGTGTGTGTCATGTGAACTCACTGCTGTGCTGGTTTTGGCAACTTGTCAACCAACTCTCCACAAAGGAACGTCGTTGCCTTCAACACGCGTCTTTGCCTTCAACACACTCTTCATGTATTGCGTCGCCCCTCGCAAAGTTCGGAATCTCTGCCTCACGATGGCCATCGCTTTCGGCTCGCTGGTCCCGAACGCGAGTCCCAACGGCGCGCGAACGCACCGGGGCCTCGCGGGAAAAACCGTCGGATCCGGTGGTTTCTTCGGTTTTTTCGCCCGTTTTCAGCGCCTGGTGAGGCTCTGCGCCTCCTCTTCTCTGTCTTGCCAAGGCAGTAGCAAGTACCTCGCAGGAGCGCCGGAACGCGACCCGTCCCGCAGGAAGCGTCGCGGCTGTCGAGCGCTGTCGCTCACTGCACGCCCTTGGATTCATAGGCTGGAGGAACTTTTTGTGCCTGGCATGCTGTGGCTGATAGCAACAAAAGTATAAATGCAAGAAATACAAACACAACTCTTTGGAAGGGTTTCAAAGGATACAAAACCTTCTTGATCTCTATCAAAGCCCAAATCCTTTTAGAGGGGCTCTCACTCAAAAAATAGAAACTACTCACCCGCCTCAAGCGAGCAGTTGATCACATGCGTGATGCCAAGCCTGGGATTCGCGTTTGGCGGTTGCTCACATGGTTCCAACTGTAGCGAATGGATGCGAATTGCATCACCCAGACACTCTATGGAACTGCCATGTTATTACCTACTTCGGGGAGGTTGAAGTCGGTGTCAATGTAGGCATATATTCGCCATATGGAGTGTTTGCATCAGGATGTGTTTTATTCTTGAGCGGATCGGATGCTCCTAATCCCATCCAAGTCGAAGTCCCGAGGTGATCAACTCTGAGCTTCAAGCTTTTTCAACAAAGGCCAGTATGCTGCATCTGCCATATTTCCCACGTACCTGAACGTTCAGAAACATGCAGGTTTCAGCCATGAAGGGTCGGTTTTTTTAGCACCAAACACCTTGCAGTTTCAGTCTCTGGATGGTGCTTCACCACACGGCCCACCTTGGAGTCACTGGTGACTCAGGCAAACCCAACCCTTGGAGTCACCGGCGATCAAGTCGGCACCGGGAAAGGTTGGGTGCGAGGAAAGCCAAGGAATGAGGGTGGCTGGATCCTTTTGGGAATCCTTTAGGAAAGGTTCATTCCCTCATGCCCTACCCAAAAAAACCAAAGAATACCGCACATCGCGCACCGAGCGGTCTTTCCCTCACCGAACGGTTCACGAAAAAACCGGAGCTCGGTTCAAACCGAGCTCGGCCAACCATCCGGTTTCGCGCACAGTCTTGGCCGGATCATGTCGGTGCAAAGTCCGTTCATCGTGGCAATGAAGCCCTGGCAGCGGAGCCGCTGAACGGTGCCGTGTTCAGTCCAGAAGGACACTCCCCATCACATCACCTCCAGAAGTCCAAAAATAGAGACTCCCAATTGGACCGGGGGGCGCAGAAGGACACCATGGGGGAAAATGAGGATGGTGTCGATTGTGGGCATATCCCATTACCAGGGTTGTAGGCCGACATCTCAAAAACAGTGACAAGGCCTTTTTTACCCTTCCTGTTACACTCCCTGCAACGATCATGGAAATGGACAATCTGGCCTGGAAAGGCCCCAGATATTTGTGTCCACTTCCATGACTGCAGGGAGTGTACCTGGTGACATCCTGGCAAACATCCGACCTCTTCGTCGGACTCGTCGCGCCTCGTCTCGATATCCATAAAACTCTGCGATGCGCTGCTGATCCTGCGCATGTGGCCAGGCAGGCGGTGGGGTCAGATCCGAACATGTCCGACGGAGGTCCTTTAGAACCGGACCATGGTCCTTTAGAACCATGGAAAAGGAAACATGGGGGAACCCTGACGAACACAGGTCCGCTACACCACCGTGCGCTCCTCGGCACTCGCATGGGCAAAGCCAGCCCTGTCTGAACCGACCGAGGCGCTGTGTGCCCCGTGTGCCGTGCGAACGGTCGGGAAGTGGAGACGCGTTCCACCGGGAAAACCACCGCACGAAAACATGGAAAACACCGCCGGTGCAAATGAAAGACCTGCCTGGGAACCGGTCGTCTCAACAACCAGTTCTGGTTGTTCCAAGTTCCACCAGGCTTAATTGAGATCCTTTACATAGGAAATGCCTGGGACTGGGGAAACATCCATTTCCTCCTGGTTGGTTGGGTTTCCGGGTGATTCTTATTGATTATGTCGTTATGTTTTTAAGCATCTTCTAGCTGCACATAGCATGACCTTTGGGAAAGAAGAACGGCGCCCACTAGATCTCACTGAGGGTTAATGTATTTCTTAAAGAAATAGCTGGTAGGCATTGGCTGCTTTAAGAATCAGCGAACACACGCATTGATGACGACTGTTTCTTACTCCCTTTCCTCGCCTATGAGGGTCATCAGCACCAGCGGCAGAGACGATGCTTGCAGGTCTTCCATGTGTCCTCCACTGTGAAAACAAAAGCCAGCACAGCGGCTTGTCGCCTCTGGCGAACGGTTGTCCATGTTTCTCATTCTAGCAAGTCATCGGCTCGACCCAGAAAGCAACGTTCGGGGCAAGTGAAGTGTCAAAGAATCCCCACCGGCTTACGCCACCAACTCGGCTACACGTTCCACGATGCTTCAAAGCATGACGATGGATGACTCTGTAGAAAGTTCCAACAACGAAGCACTCGTGGCAAACGTTGAGCGCTCCTTCCACCCTTCCATTCGTGCTTCATGAGGTTATCGGAATCGCTTCGACTTCCTCACGAGACCGCCAAAGCCAAGTGACTCCCACGGAGAAATCATGAATCGCAGATCGTAGAACCCCCAAGATGGAACAACTCCTAACAGCCCTGGAAGACGGGCCGAACTGTGTCCACGTTCCATTTCTTCGACTTCTCGGCGACCACCCGGCAGGTTTGTGCGGTCCTTTGTTGTGCACGAAGGAGAGATCCAACTTCGGAACCTTGGAAGGACAGGGTGGGAAATCTTGGCGCAGTGAGACACCAGCTTCTGCTAGGCGTCCGGGCCTGTGGAGGTCTGGCAACCTTAAGGCGTCTCAAGGTGATGAGGGGCGTCAAGTGCCCCAAGCACTGCTATCAGAGCCGGATGGCCTTCTGCTTCTGCAAAGCGCTGCTCAACGGAGTACCGATGTCTGCTTCTTTGTCCACATCTTCAGCCTCCTTGACACGCACGCCATCCAGCTCCACTCATTTCAGTCCCAGCATCCTTTTGGGGTCAAAGCTTTTGCACCAAACCCCAAATGCCCGAGCCGGGCTGTTCGGGGGGGCCGGGAACCAGCTCCATCTTCCCTCCAAAAAGCTGGGGGAGGTCGAAAGCAAGGGACATTCATGCCCAAGGACCAAAGGAACGCCGGTCCCGCCGGTCCCGCGCTCCTTGGGAATCTCCACCGAAACCTCTGGCAGCTCCCCGAGCTCGGTCACCGTCTCTCGTGGAGGTGGATCAAACCTGGAGCAGAACATGCGCCCGGCCGAGCTCTCCGCTTCTTCCGGAGCTCGTGGTCATCCCAGGTGTCACGCCCCCAGCGGTCGGACGACCGAGCCAAGCCGGGTCTTCGCCGCGCCTCGCAGGTGTGATCTTCCTTTGCTCCAGTTTCTCGTCGTCCTGTTTGGGCCTCAGGGCAGAAACAAAAGCGAGGGAATGGGTCCGGAGTCCAGATCCTTAAGCGTGGTGCAGTGCAGCTGCCTTCGAAGGTTTCTTCGCATTCCTAAAGGGCAGGAGAGCAAAAATCAACCAAGACTTCATGCTTCACACCAAGACTGGTACCAGCACCGTCGCAAGGTGGCCATGTGATTCGGACGAACCTACACAGCAGAGTCTGATGTGTTGAAACCACACAGACATGCCGACATGCCCCGATGGGGGTGATCAAAGTGAAAGGCCGAGAGGGCCAAAGGAACAGATGCTGGTCATCCGACCGACCTGCCCAAAGAAAGGAAGGATAAGGAAGCCCTCAAAGTCTAAAGGCTATGGTCTTGTCATGTCTTGTCATGTCGTTTCAGGCATCATATGCTTGTGCGACTCCTAGAATCAAAGGCTTTGGAGACGCTCAAGAAACGCGCGACGGGACGCGTTTCTGTCTTGGGGGACCTGGAGAAACGCCCACCTTCTGGAGGAGTCCAGGAGTCGACGAGACCGGAGTCGACGAGGGGTCCAGGGCACTGCCCCTGAGTCCGGTGTTCCTCTACAAACCAAGTGCTTTTGGCAGGGTCCATGTGAATTGTCCAATGTTTTCCACGGGTACATCTCAAACGACATTCGAGGAGTCTGCATTGCTTCAAGACTTCAACAAGATCGAAGTCAACCCATGTGCAGGTGACTGGGTGAGTGTCTCTGGTGTCCTTGGTTCTGACGCAAACCTCCAACCACACGGTGATTCGGTTGGATTGCAGAGGCTCCCAGCTGCATCTCCCAGCGAGGGCGTTGCTCGACTGAGAACAAATGACAACAAGCAGGTGGAGATCCAAACATGTTGAAGACATAAAGCACGGGAGAATAACACCTATTGAACAAACAAGAATGAATAACTCCCTCTGGACAAAAGTAAAGGCACCCTCACCCTAGTAAACAAGTCATTCCATTTGCTTGATAAGTACAAAATGACATCAATTCTGAAAGGCCGTGGATTTACTCAAGTGTCATGGGCCTCGCAACCAACGCATCAAATGCAGATCCGTCCATACCTGGCACGGGCGCCTTGCTCTCTTTGTTAGACCACTTCGATTTCTCGTCTCCCGACCCTGGCGCCGGACTTCCTCGGCCAACGCAGAAACGGCCTGAGCGAGAAAGGCGAGGAGCTGGCACGGTCCGTCGGACTTTTCTGCAACTGCGATCAAACTTCTACAAACATCTTCCAAGAACAGCTCTACAGTAACCCTTCTCCACCAGCATGCCGCATGCCTCTTCTTTCAAGAAACGAATTTCGTGCCGCACCTCACGTGGAAGCAACGATCCCAAGCCTTGCAGCCATCGCTCCACCTACCCACACCCACCGGCCCTGGACACGTCTGGCCACAAAAACGCCACCGCCTCTGCCGGGGTCATGGTGCCAAGCACCGGCGGCGCTTGGAGTCGGTTTTTCGCGCCCCGGCGGAGCTACATGGCCTCTGAACCGAAGTTCGCGCCTCCCAGCAGAGCGAATAGGGACGCCATGGACGAAGGATGGCACGGAAGAGATGCAACACCGAACTGCTGACGGCCAACTGACACAAAAAGGAACCGATTCGCCCGCACAATCTTTTGGTGAGAAACGATTCTTTCCTCGGGTGAGACAGTCTTTGGCCGGTTAAGCTGTGTTATCAAATGTATATATACACACGGGACCAACACGTCGAGCGCGTTCGTCGAACTACTGCCAGGTCCCCTCATTTCGACGATCTCGCTTTACCTGCGTCGCTCGTTCGTCGAAAGCGGCGACGTTCGTTCGTCGAACGGGAGACGTTCAGGGTCTGAGGAGGCGTCTGTCGTGTCGTCCTCGGGGATGGGTCATGGATGGTCATGGGAACCAAATCATGGTCCCAAAGCCATCCGAATCTTAATGTGAAAGTGGCCTGCTGCTTCAAAACCCCTAACCCAAATGATTTCCAGAACCAAATGCCTTGGCATGATGTCCTGGGATCTCCTGCGATCGGTCCACCCCATGACCTCCGGACCTCTTCCGCGAGGAACGGCCTGTTCCGACCAACCAGAGCTGCCCCCCGACCAAACGGCCGGGAGCCGGGGGGCGGACCTCTTTGGGCCCCCCCCCCGGGCTTCGTCTCCGGGGAGAGGCGTCAACCACCAGCGGGAACACGGCGGCCCGCGCTTTGCAGCGACTCGTGGATTTGGTCGACGACGAAGCGGAGCAAATCCTCGGCGTGGTCGCACCAGAGTGCCCGCCCGAAATGCCCGGGGGAGGGTGGCGACACAACAGAAGACACTGGCAAAACTGGAGGATTGGAGGTTCGGTTCCGGTTTCGCCTTCTTCCGTTCCTTCCTCCCCGCCTCATTGTCCCAATAGGAGAAGTGACTCTGGAGTGCACTGAGCATCTCATTCATGCTTTCGAAGGCACTGACCTGACGGTGGCACCAACGAGGAAAGGACTCGGTGGTTGCTTTTGAAAAAGAAATCCAGAAACGACAGAGGTCACCTGCAAAGCGTAGTCCACTCTGTCCACGGTGACCACTGCTTGCCGCGCCGGTTTCTCCTATGGGTCGAGCGACGCGAGAAGTGGCGGAAAAGAAAAAGCTTCGCCGGTGTTCAAGACCTGTCTACCTATGGGTCGAGGTGGTGATATTAGAAATGAATGGACACGTGAGTGGACACCCCTAAATTAACCTCCCAGGGTGAAATAAAATTAGAGACTCCAAATGGTACATTTGGATAGTACCAAATATGCTATTCATTTGGATCGTTTTCTCTTTTTGATGTCAAAACAAAAGCACCGTCGCCCGTCACCCGCAAAGCACCTCGAAGAAGCTGGACGGGTCCTGAGGGACCAGTCGTTGTGGATCCGTTTTTGATGCGAAAGAAATAGTGTTGTAACTATTGTAGAACTCAGGTGAAAGGCCATTAAAACCAATGGTGATCCGACTTCTAGGGTCTTCCTATCTTTACAAGATTCCATTCACAAGATGCTCGCAAGTAGTTCCCGGTTGCTCTGGTGCTCCACTTCTCAGGTGTCCCAGCTGACCCACGGACGCACGGACGCCCCGAAAGAGGTAGTTCCTTTGGGGGAACCTCGAGATAGGCGGATGCATGGATCCTGTTCGGCAACTCAGCCACCAGCCACCCCAAGTCGGTGCAAAGGACATCCCTGCTAAAAGGCAGGGATTTGTTGGGCAAAGGTAACATGTTTTTCCAACGCTGTAACGCTGTACGCTCCCATCCACCAGGCCTCAGTCGGCACAACCAAAACCTCCTCAAAGGTTTCCTGGCATCCAGTGCCGGACGCAAAGCAAATCAAAGCCTTCCAAAAGGACCAATCAACAACCAACAACAGTGACTTCGGTCTGATTAAAAAACATCTTGTCTTACATCCAACCCTTCAATCGCCTCACCCTGTAGCAACCCTTCAAGACCCAACAACACCTGGGCGACCTCACTCGTGGCAGCCCGGTCTCCGGTCCATCTCACTTCGTCTCAACATGCCATGCCACGTCCAAGTCCAGCAGCCCGGCACTGTCAGGTCCCTTGGACCTCGGCCACGGCCACGCACCCCGAGGCGTCCCGGCACGTCACGGTCGTGGTCGGTCGCGATGCATCGCGCATGACATCTCGGACGGTCGAAGGGTCGGAGGGAAGGCGAATGCGAAAGCTCATTAGACCGATCGGAGGTCGTACTTTAACACCATCAGGTCCTTCGAAGCAGTTCTTTTCCAGACAGAATACCTCTGTCTGTTGGACACCTCAAAACACACCAGGAAATGGGTCAGATGGTCATTGGAGGCCACTTCAAGAAACCAGCAGAAAGTTGATCAGGTTCTTGTTCCGTTCATTCCGTCTTTGAGGAAACCCATCAAAACCCCACCAACAAAGAGTGCCCATGTGATAAGATCCTCGGGAGAGCCAAAGCTGAACATGCTCGCATGCCCAAACCAGGAGAAACTCATCAAGCTTATTCCCCTGCAGATTAACATGGAACCCTAAAAACACTGGGTTGTAGAGGAAAATTGTCTTCCACCAGTCAATTCTCTGTTAGTTTGCGGGAGGGTAATTCAAGACCACAGGGGTTTCCATCAACCACTTGAGCAAAGCTGGTGATCCGCGAGCTTAAGTGCATGCTGAAGAACGCGGAGGAGCTGGTAAACCAACTGCTAATCTTGTGGTTCCAGCGCAAACCACCTTTGTGAGGTACCACCCTGGGCGCAGCTGGTCAAAAGATGTCAAAAGACACTCGTCTGTGTTTGCCTGAAGAATGTGTGGGTGTGAATTCAAACAGGGAGAACCCCAAAAGACGCCAGTCTACCGATTGGTTGGAGACCTCCCTATCGAATTACACACTGTCTGGACAAAAAACATTCGTCTGCTTTTGTCAGTCGCGCTCGGAGGCCTTGGGTTTTGCTTCGCATAGGCCGGGTTCAGAAGCGGCTCGATCCGATACCTTAGAAAACCGTCGGTTTTTTGCCCCAAAAGGGCATGTTCTGCTGCCTTAAGCCGAAGAGTCATGGACAGTCTGGTGCCCACAACAAAAATAAAGGACCAGTTTTTCAGCAAGCAAAAAAGCAAAAACAGTCCGGCAACCATGTGAAGCTAATCTGACAAAGGTGCGCGATCGGGTCATCTGGATGGAAGACGTTGAACATCCTCTTCGTCGAAGCTGAAGCGATTGTTCCACGACGTGGGGCGAGAACGGTCCGCCGTATGGACCTGTCCCTACAGATCCAGACCCAACGCCTGGTCCTGAAAACCTCATGGAGTCGTGTGTGCTTCTATGATCAACTGAGGTGAAGCTGACTGACCTGTAGGGATGTTCAGTCATGTTCATGCTGAACTCTGAAACATTCGCAGGTTGCTGAAGAAAACTCGTCCTCCATCCTCGTCCCTCGCACACCGCGGGCCAGCGGACGTCGAGGCCCCTGAAGTACCTGGCTGGAGTACGTCGGCACTGTTTCACAGCAGCACAGGGTAGTCTTGGAAACCGTGTTTGTTGGGGACCCCAACACATCCCCCCCAATAAGATAGAAGTCATATATATATATATATAGAAGTTCGTGTTCATGCCGTAGAAAATGGACAGGACACCGTGGCATCTCCGGGACCGACCGTAACACCTTAGGAGTCGCGGAAACGTCGGAGCGTTGTTCGCGACCCTGCGGCGTTGATAAGTGGAGACTCACATTGCCTTTTTGGATGCGAACAACTGTGTTTCATTCGCTGTGGCTCTGGTAGCAATCCTCGAATGCTCCGGAGCCAGAAATCCGAAGTGCTCGACCCCCGAGGCGCCCTTCCCCCGCCTCGAGGCGCGCTGCGCCTTCTGCGACAAACGGATGCTCAAGAACCTGAGGCCGATCGGTCTGCGGGTCCGTAACAGATCGGTCTGCGGCAGATCGGTCAAGGTCTTGACATCCCCAAGGGCGATCCAACAGCAAAGAGACATCGTGGAACCGGATGCTCAATGGCTCCCGCTGCTTGTCCTGCCATTTCTTGTGGCAGCCATGGCATCGGCCATGGCATACTTCATGGCATGGTTCGGCAAAAAGCAAACAAAAAAGAGCGATAAAAACCAGTGGATGAAGGGTTTTTGCTCGTAGATCTCGAAGATCTCGACTTCGGAGGGCTCCAAACCGACGGTCCTTTGCTCAAGGCAGCGACGTGTCCTTTCGCCACGTGATCCTGAAGCACTTGGGATGCAAAGAAAGGGTGAAGAGTCTTGGAGATCCACAGTCTGTATCAAAGGAGCGATAGCTTCTCTGGGACCATTGCTTCACCCACAAGAATGTACTACGTAGTTTTATCGGTTTCATCAAACCACTGGCCACATGTGCTAGTTGTGCGTGTGTGTGTGTGTGTGCGTACTGCAACACCAAAGACTGGCACCTGAGGCTTGCGCTTTGAGAATCTTGACACCCTTTCGGTCAAAGCTGCCAGGCGTGGCAACATTCACTTTCGCAGGCGCCGGTACTGTTGGCTTCTTTGTGCTTGGGGAAACATCCTTGCAGCATCGTCACATGTTTCACGGCAAGGTTTGGAAACAGCCGTCCTTCTGGGAGCAGTGCAGACCTTGAGGAAGCTTCTCCACTCCCTGCACACTCCAGTGAAAAGTGCAGCAAACTCGTTCTTTTCACTCAGAATGTAGACTGTTGATTAATAACCCCCGTGATTTGGATCGAAACGCCTCAAGCTTGGGGGCACATGACTTAACGCAAAGAATCCAAATCTCTGCGTCGCTCGCGTGGGCCATCAAAGGTTCTTGCCGGGTGAATTGGCGGAAGATTTCGGCACCGCTGCCGGTGGCGGTCGGCGCCTTCTGCATGAGATCGAACATGATGACCGACCCCAAGGAGTGCCCGACCACAGCAATCTGGAGCAGCGCCATGTGATGTGGCGCTGAACATGCAAAAACATCCCCAAGTGCCGACGCAAAAAAAAGGGGCCTCTCCAGAGTAGTCTGGAGTGCGATCTGAGAAAAGCTTCCACAGTTGACCCTGAAACAGAATGTCTCTTTACTAGGAGCCTCTGAAACTGAGTTTACGAGAAAGTGGATAAGGTACAAGTTGCCAGTTTCTGCACCAGCTGCTGAGCTATTGGCCATCTTTCTGGTAAGCTCTTCGTGTATTCGTTCCCGCCATTGGTCATCCTGCACGACCATCGCACGACCGGTCGCTGTTTCGCTGGTCTTGCTACAATGAGAACTGCCACGTTGTGGACGACCATGTAAGACACAGGTTAGTCCGATGAACGCCCCGACCCGTTGATGATGTTCACCCCAAAAAAGCTGCTTTCCGGCCCAGCTGGCGACCCAAAAACCCATCAATCAGCTGCCCCCGACTTCGCCGCTTTTCTTCCGTCCAGGTAGACCATGATGTCAGCGACCGCGAAGTTCGCGAAGTCCCGCAACGGGCTCACCTCCGAGACCCCGACGGCCCGACGGCCTGCCGGGGCTCGTGAGAACGGTCAACTCCAAGAACGACCCAGCCCCCAGGAATTGGATGGGTCTCCTTTCTGAAGTTTGACGGAAGTTCTGGCACCGACTGAGGGTCCAGCTGACTTGAGCGTCACGTTCTTCAATCGATTGCCTCCCAGTCGTCCGGTCACCACCACTCGCCAATCGCAAGATGCAAAAACACGAGACACCCTGTTTTGATGTTTTCGTGTTGCTCCTATCAATACTTGATACACACGACAATTGTATCATCAAGAAAACCTGGACACGGAAGAGGCCTATTCCAACGTCCACATGAATAGGACCGTACCTGAAAGGCAAACCAAACGGCTGCTTCGTCCTCCCGTTCTGCACAGCGACATCAAAACAAAACATCCCGGGCTACCATTCCAAGGGAAGGAACTCCACCCGTCCGTGCGGCCTGGGACCACCCTGACAGCATAAGAAACCAAGTGCGTCAAGTGCGTTTGCGTTGCCTTCGAAACCGTGGGACCTCAGGCTCCGATGCCAATCTTTCAAGCTGATACTTCATGGCCAGCTTTCGGAACTTCGACACTTCCTGACCCCAAACGGCCAGCACGGTCCGTCCCCGTTCTTCGGTTTTGCGTTCAACTAAGCCCTGTTTGCAGGCGGGAAGAGTGTTTTTGCTGCTGCGTCGAAAAAAAGAAAGTCCCGTCACAAGGCGGGCAAAGGAAAAGAAAGCGCCTTGAAGAACTGGGAGTTGAGCCCCTGCTGAGCACGATGATACTGGCCGATGCCATGGACCACAAAGGTCAAACACCTCACCGTCTTCATGGTCGCACTCGCGCAGAAAACATCCGTTGAGGCCAAAAACAGTGCAAATCAGGTCACAGCTGTATTCGGAACTGGACGGCTGTATTCGCAAACTGGACAGTTGTAGTGGAAAACTGGTATGCGGAAACGAATGTTCTTTCAGCCAACGGGACTTGTTATTTTGGGATCTTGTTAGTGGAGAAATGCTTAAATGGTCAAGGTCAACCACTGGAAGAACATACCGTTGCATCGATCATCATCAATCTGTCAGAATCAATGATTGCTAAGTCACTCTCGAGCCTAGAAGAAGAAACATTCACCGATTAATAATGGTTGCCTTCACCACTGAGGCAGCCACTCAACCCGGCTGGGCAATCTTTCTTCCTCCTCCTCGCTCCACAGCGCCCCCCCGACAAAACCGCCGGGGTTCGTGACCAACTGCCGTCCTCATGGAGCTTCTCTTCACCCGCCACCACCCAGTACCTGGGCGAAATTCACCCGTCGGCACACATGAAATCACCCTGCTGGCCTGCTGTTGGGCGCAAGCCCCTTAATCAGTGGCCCCATAGGAGATGTTCCTGCCCTAATGCAGGTGAGGTGCCCACGCCAAACAAGGAAGGTTTCCTTCTGGCCCCCACTCCTCTCAACGGCTTCTTGTACAGCAGCAAATTGAAGTTCATCACCTCACTAAGTGAGTGTTCACTAACAACTTCCTGAAAATAAAACTTCTGACTCTGACCAAAATCTATTTGCAAAAGGCTTCCCATGGTTTTACTTCTTTTCATCGTTTTCCCTCTTTCATCTGCTTAGCCAGCCACTTCCGGCATCCTGCAGGTTCCGCCGCTTCGGGAGATTCTTGGTCGAAAGGAAAAAAAAAGAAGAACCCTGAAGAACCTGAAGAACGGAAAACCGCTTCGGAAAAAAGAACAAATAAAGTGGCACAGTATGGCACAGTTACCCCAAAAAAACACCTCCCTGTACCTTAACGGAGTTTTGGGAGCTCTGTACCCATCCCAAGAGACCTGGTCACCCGGTAGACCGGCCTTCACCGCCTTCTCCTCCTCGGACTTCTCCAGGTGCAGGGGACCGGTCTGAGACGGACGGTGAGACACCGGTTAAGGCGGGTTCCGGTGGGAGCGGGGAGTTCCGGTGCACCGGTTTGGGTGAGGTTGGCTTTTTGGGGGGGTGGGTGGACCCGTTTTTGCTGCAGAATCTGGATCATGACAGAAGAATCCATGGGGTATCTCCATGGGGCATCGCACGCACGCACCAGAAGCGGCCAAAGAAAAGCAGGATGCCAAATCTCCTGGGTGCCCGAACCACAGCATAGCGCTTTGGCCCACTGCCACCGAAGAACCATGTGCTTGAATCGTCCTCTTGCAACCCTTCTGGTGGCAGCGCCTCGCAATATGAGTGTGCTTATACTCATTTGATGAGCAATGGAAGATTGATGGCAATCACCCCGGCTGGCAGTGTTTCTTTGCCGTCTTCATATCCAAAGCAGTTCCTTTCACTCGTTTCCCGCCTCAAAGCGCACGTCATGTGTCCCCCTGGCCAAAAACACATGGCCCCGCGACCCACCTCGTCACGCGACGCCCGTGGCCCGTGGCCCGTGGCCTGTTCACGGGCACCAGCAGCGGGGCCTTTTCCTGCCAACCGCGGAAGACGACGACGACGTCCGGACGCGTCCGTCGCGCTGCCCGGGACGGTCCTTCTTCGTCCGCAGGCGCTGAAAGGCGGTCTCCAAGCCCTGCGGACCGAGCGCGGATCGGCGGGCGGGGTCCTGTTTTGGGATCCAAAGAAAGAAAGAAAAACCGTGAAGCACTTCAGATCTCAATAAAGGCGTGCGCTAGCCTTGAGAGGCATCAGAATAGGAGAATCTGCTTCAGTTTGGAAGATTGGAATGATGCTACGCTGCTAGTTCTGAAGGCTGCTATGACATTCTATGACCCACAGCCATCTTGCTTGACTCACTGGTCGAAACTTCACGAGATATTTGACATCCACCTCTCCATCTTCCTCTTCGTAGGGCGTCCAGGGGCCACCAATCTTCCCTGAACAAATCGAACCAATGGCCACTCATCTGCCGCATGGTTTTGGTTTTGGTTCTTTTGAACCAAACCAAACCCACAATCCTTGAAGACGGGAACCTGTTTGGTCGACGGACGGGGTCCGTCGCCTTGAAACCATGAGCTCCGAATGCACCGCCTCTCGGGTTCATCCCAATACACGGCCCTGGCCAAGGGCTATTGGGCACGTGCCGTAGCAACTCGAAAAGTAGAAGCTATAATTATTGGACATGTCAAGAAAAACCGTTATAAGGATTTTCTGATCTGTGCAAAATTGTTCCCAATGCATGAAGCATACAACTCTTTTTTTCTCCCCAAAATGCTGCTTCCAAGCCGAAAGTGGGAAAGTATGTGTCCAGTGACAGCAGCTTGGAAAACAGGTCCCTCCCTTCGTGTTTGAACACGTGCATACACTTTAAGCATCTTCACGTATTATGCAAACAATGCTAGTCAGACCGGAGGAAGGAATAGGAGAACGACCTGTATCTTCTCACTTTTGTGTTCCCAGTGCCTTAGCACTCTCCTTTCCAGATCGACATCGTATCTGCCTAAGGCATGAACCAGGACGGTGTGAGAAGCACTCTCTACGCTCTCCTTCCCAAGCATGAAAAAGCAAAAGCACCGGGCCATAATCCACTGGCACTGCTGATGGTAACTCCTGACGGTAACTGTGAATGCCAACAAAGCAGTGGACTCCCTTGAGAAGAAGCTGAAGCTGATGCAAGGTCCATCAGAGATAGCCTCTGTCAGAGATCAACCCAAAAGCAAAAGAACAACAAAAAAACTTAAACTACAATGTAGAATCTTGATTAATGAAACCCCTCCAATGGGATGCCCGAACTCGCGGACACGCTCCCACCAACCGTAAATGATTCTACCTGATATGATATGACTGTAAATAAACAAAAGGATAAAAACCGATTCTCCTTTCCACCCGCCAAGATGGCTTCGAGGTGCTCGGAGTCCACGCGTGGCAAGGGCACCCACCTAGAGCCGCGTCGCAGCACCGACGCGGACGCTCGGACCGAGCCCCGCCCGACCTCCGCTCGGAGGAAGAGTTCTGTGGTGTTTCCTGCGGACAACAGATGGCCAGGTTTGGGACAAAGGGCACAACACCCGGAGGAGCTTTCCAGAGGTTTGCCCAGCCAACTCGACCCACCTCTCCTGCGCCAGCCAGAGATATGGCGAATCCCCACCTGAAGACCAAGCGACTTACGCATCGTCCTTTTTGGTGAATGAAGCGACGTGGGCAAACAAACGTGGTCATCAGCGGTCGTCCAATTTGACTGCATTCACAACTCTCGAGGTGCTTCACTCATGCCTGTCACTACGTGGTCATCAGCTTCTGTCGCTCTGTTCTCCCTTTTTCACCAGCGATTCTGTGTGACTTCGGCGCTTTGGCGGCGCTTTCTCCGCATGGTATGTACTTCGGGGCCTTCACGCCGACACACCCGAGCCGCTCCAAACCGTTCGGCTGACCGCGAGCGCTGCAATCGCGACGGATCGGAGTGGTCGACGGAACCCACGACTGACCGGTCAGAACTCCCGGTGGTGGCCACAGAGTTTTTCAGAGCTGGAGCCACCTGGAGTGGAGTGGGAAAAAAACACGTTCTGCAAGTTCTGCTAGATGATGCAAGTTCTGCTGCAAGTTCTGCAGCCCAGCCAAAACTGTGCTGTGCAGCCCAGCCATGTCAAGGGATCCTAGGAATCCCACCAAACACCATCTGGCGCCAGGTGCATGGTCCTGTCTGGAGCATTGAAGGTCTCTTTGAAAACCGCCATAGCCTCAACATCGTCGGTCTGAAAAAGGACAGAACTGGCTGGTCCAGCAGCCGATGCTGAAATCTCCACGGCTGGGAATGAGCAGGTCATCACAGCTCTGAGACCAACACCACGGTGGGAAACATCCAGCTAAAGTCGTGACCTCATCGCATGTAGCTGACCGTCGTCGTCACCGCTCCGGACCCATGGTCAGCGGCCCCACCATGGATCCGCGGCCGCCCTGGGGCTCGCACCCGAGAGAATCCCCCCCTCACGCACCTTTGGCTTCCAAGCTGCCACATCGTCTAGAACGGCCTCGGAAAGAAGACCGGCCGGTGGGCCACGGGCGGCCACGGAGCCGCGGAGACTTAGCTTCAGAGGGTACAGGTGAGGGCCTCATAGTCATGGCGAGCATCAAGAAAGACAATGTCCAGGGATTCATCTGCCTCACACCGATTCTTCGATTACATCTTTTACATGTCAATTCATCTGCCTCACGGCTTCACGGATTCTTCTCCGACCCTCTATAGCCTATGCGTTCTGCGTTTGTCTCATGAGGTCGCGGCGACTTGCAGAGAAGCATTCAGAGATGTGTTGCGGTGCAGAGTAAAACGACCTGCCGTACAAGAGACTTTGTCATACAACGAAAGGGACTGAGGAAATGGAAGATGTTCTCATCCAACCCCGACGGATTTGGCGAGGTTGTTAGCAAATTACCCGAGCGCTGCGATTCCAATCACGAGTCCTTTGAAACCTTTGTCTCAAATGAACATGGAAGCAGGAAGAATGACGATCTAAATAATTCAAAACATGGTCCATCCGAGAGTCTATCCGAGTCTATCCGCCTGCATCGATGAAGAAAGACAAGCGTTGGAGAACATCTGCATAAAGGCGATCGTTCTTGAAGTACGGGTCGACACCTTTCTGACAAAAAAACAGATCCATGGTGTCTGAGGTCCGCGAATTTTCGCCTATGTACGACAGAAAGGGATTGCGCTCCAACAGCCGCTGGCTGGTGTTGGCCGCCTGATTCCGACACCGGCTCCGTTTTCGAGCATCACAGGTTCGAAGTCCCTCTTTTTGTGGTGCCCGGCACCTCCACTCCCACTTCGGCCATTTGAACCGCATGCTCCGAAACTCCCAGCAAATCCAACCTTGGCTCTGGACTGGACCGTTGGACTGCGGGGGCACCCGACGAAATCATGCAGTCGCTCATTCAAGCGAGACGGTCCGGGTTTCCCGACAAGTGTGTCAAAGCGTCCCATCGCTTTCCAGGGATCTCATGGAAGACCTCATCTTTTTGGAGGGGACACAAACAAGTGTCTGCGATGTTTGAACGTTTCTTGACATGTTCTAGTGATGACAAAAACCTTTCTGAGCAGGATACGACTTGCAAACTGCTGGCATCTCCATACATCTCCTGAACCAAATTTCGCCCCACGATGCGTCCTGGATTGCTCGGCAGCTTAATGCAAGTGTTTTCTGAAACCCGTGAACTTGCACAAGGAGGAGTCACTTCTTCCAAACGGAAGCCGGACTTGGGCTCTCTAACGGGAGAGACCTCGCAAACAAAACATCGGCGCACCGTTATGTTCCAGCTGCACGATGTGAAAGTTCAGCAACAAAGTGACTGAGACCTGACGCTTCGGTCGAGGTTGGGTTCATTGGCCAGTCATGTGCTTTGTGGGTGATTTTTTTCACAGGAATCCTGCGGTCACATGGAGTGAGGCTTGCTTTTTCAAGAAACACATTTTTGCTGCTTTACTTGGCCAAGCAACATTCTCAATCAACAGTTGCAGGCGTCGTGCCAGTGCAGCGGCCTGCCACGGCATCAAAGTTCTTGATTTTCTGGATTTTGTCCGGACCACGTTACGTTGACCTAAACACTGAGCCCTTCGAAGTTGATTGCGATCGCACGTCGAGCCCGTGCCCCAAGTTTCACTCCACGCTGATCGGCGTCCAGACTCTTTGAACCAAAGCCGCCAGGAGCACCACGTCCAAGACCTCTTCAGCTCGAAGAAAATCTGGAACCCGACCGCCATCCAAGACCTGCACGGGTGGTGTGGACTGCTCTTGTCGGCACCGACCCAAATGCAGCTGCAAGAAGTCGATCCCAGCTCTTGGCGAACCCCTTTTCTCGGAGATTGGTGAGCGGTGTCGGGGCAAGTCCAAGTCCTGTAAGACAGCGGCCGACGTTTCAGTCTTTTCAGTTTGCGGACATCGCGGTGCTCTTGAAGCAATCGGCTCATGGCAACGCGGCACGCATGCGCAGCATTGTCTTTCGATTGGCCCGAGCTGCTTCCGCCTTTGCGCACCGGATGTATTCATCCGGGGCAGCATTGCACATCCCCGCATGTCTCCTCTCCTCTGCGCGTTCAAATGTTGCCCGGTACAGTGTGTAATATGTTTGTCCCTCCTTCCTCATCATTTTGCACCGTCCGATTTTCCTAGAAGGTCTTCTTGAGTTCCAGCCCTTCCGGCATCTCGACCCGATTGCCGAGACCGTGGCCATTGTCACCTCCACCGTGCCTTCTGATCCGTTCTGTCTTTCTTGACAGTGATGGTACATCATTTTACACCACATATCAGAGCTCAGGATCTCCTTGGTTCTACTCAAAGCCAAATGACAATATCTGCATCTGAGCCACGCTTATGCACCATCAGCCCTGTTTGAGTTGAGTGAGGTGTTGTTCTTTCGTGAAAGCAAGGCAGCATTGGGGATTCCTTCTCCTTGCAATGGGCTGTTTTTGCGGCTCGGCCGCTCTCTGATCTTGACCACTTGTGCTTCTGTCCGCTCTTGGACTTCGAGCTGGCCAACTCGCAAGGTCGCTGACCTCGCACGTCCGTTTCCGGTGACCGCTCACACCGGCTAAGTCTTGCCGCTGACTGTGACCTGGCCGCCGCTCTGCTTGCGCCGAGCGCGTGCCATCAGATGTAATGTCCGAGATATGCGTCATCAGCCTAGATGGATTCTTTTGGTATACGGACCTAGCGGAGTGTTCATTTCAGCCGATGGGCCAACGGGACTTGTTCTTCCCTGTAGGCAAATATTTAAAGGTCCACTACTCAAGAAAGATGTCGATAAATCGATCTCAGAATCAGTGATTGCTAGGTCACTCACAAGCCTAGAAGACGTTCACCATGAAAGAGGCCTTCTGCAGATGTTCTAGAGCCACTGTTGCGTGGCGCCGCAGAACCGCACGTGTGCTGTTGGCATAAACCTCGTTCGCTCCAATCCATCTGGTTTTCGAATCCCCACGTTTTCTGAGTGTCCAACCGGCGCATCTGCCAGGTCAGGCGGCGAAATACCAAAGGAGTTGGCAAACACCTCGCGGCGAATCGCCCAACCGCAAAAGCACAGGTGGATTTCCAAATCATGGACAATGTATGTGCAACAACGCGACCTGCCACAAGTCTCATTGCCTGCCACAGCTGTTGCAGCTCCAAGACATCATCCTCCGTAGGGTCCGCCTCTAACAACCTCACCTAACAGAGGCTGACGAAAGCACCGCCCAGAGCAGCGCCCCCCATTCACCACGAGGGACGGACTCCGAGGTCGAAGAGGTCCAGGAAGAGCTCCTGGACGAGCGAACGACGAGCTCGTCCCCACGACCTCCGGATGGACCGGGGGCCGCAAATCGGAAGCAACAAGGACGTGGTCGTTCGGTGGAGGCCGTTTCTTGGTTGGAGGCCAGAAGCTACGAACGTCACAAGAAGCTACGAACGGGAGAAGAAAGTTCCACCTCCAAATCCAGCGGGGAGTTTCGGCGTTTTCTCCTGCAAATGACCACACAGGTTCTTGAAGGGTGCCCAATCGCTTTCATTCGCATAAACCTCTGCAGATGCTGAATCATCACTGCAAAAGACATGCACAAGAACTGCCACTGGCCTCAATAGGAGTTGATGTAGCAATATTGTCGCAAATGACTCGATTGCAATCAGCATCCTGACATGTTTTTTTTTCAGAGAGCGTTTTGACAATACTGGGCGGCATATGACAGGACAGCACTCTGACCAAAGCCAATGTGTAGATGCATTGGTGGATGTACATATCTGTGAGATTGAAGAACATGCAAGAACTACCTGGAGATGCTGAAAAGAACTTCCAAACAAGAGCGCTCCAAGACAAAGATTGAATATTTGCTTTCCATCCTGGATCTGAACATGTGCAATCTGCATACTTTCAAGGCAAGAGAATGATTCACGAGTCTGTGTATGTCGGGCGGCGGTGCGTGCATGAGATTCTCACCCCCACCACCGGCCAGCCGGTCCTCCAGTAGATGCTGGCGCAAGCGACCCAAGCAACCTTGACCTGCGGGATGAAACCCACACGTTTTCCAACCGCACGTCGTCAACTGTCAATCAGACAAAAGCGCTCACCCACTCAGGATCCTGCTTTCCTTGCCCAAACTTCTGCCTGGCAAGGCACCTGAACAGATCCAACCGCCCCAAAAAATAGACCGAAATACTAGAACTTAGAACAACAACTCCGAATTTCGCAACTCCTGAGGCACCCTGGCATTCCTCAATGTGGAGTGGGTATCGTGATTCAAAAGCGCCATCTGGGTACCTCAGATCCGAGCGTCTCCGGATCGCGTCTCAGATCGTTTCGGGTGACGACGCGGCCTGAGCACTGCCCCGGCCAGTGGAACAGCAAAGCAACAGCGCCTCGAAGCGAGCGCGCTCGGTACCGGTGTTTCAAGGGAAGCCATGCTGGGAAATGAGGCTGTGAACAGGTCATTGAAACCCTTGAAAAAATATTAAAGAATCATCTGAATTGAGATGGGAGGCATAAGCCATGTATGAACTTAGCCTGGTATGCTCAACACTCACAAGTTTTAGACCTCTCTGCCTGCAACTGAAGAACTTCATGCTCCAAGGCAAAGTTTCCCATGGCAAGCTGTTGGAATGCCGACGTTGAGAACGTATTCGATGCAGAGGGTGGCCAACCATCTTCAAGTAGCATGTAGGTGCTTGTGCAACTGTGTGTGTGAGTGTGCTTTTGGGCTTTTGACTTTCCGTCACCTTTGCAATTTGCAAGATGAAAAAGTGACCCACAACTGAGTATATACTGGATAGAGACTCACATTTCGCAGACTGACTATGATCAATCTACGGGCCCGATCACTCTTGGATGACGATCACTCTTGGATGACACACAGCTAGAGAGTCCGGTAAAACACACCTTGAGCTTCGGTTTCGCATGGCATATGTGCGCTGCAATCGGTGTACTTGAACGCGGCATACAAGTCTGGACAGATTGGACGAAGATGAACGAAAAGGGCAGTGGCAAAATCGAAAAAGAATGCCTCAAGTCACTTGCACAAAAAAATAGAATACACAATTTCCGCAAACCTGCTGCCATGACATCGCTGAAGGCAACAGTCCATGGGCATTGTCGAGGACTCACAAATACGTGCAACACAAAATGGCTTTGGCATGCATAAACGGATGTCTGCTCGGCTGCCCTTATATAATGCTTGGTGGGGCAAGTAACTTAGGATGCTGGCCTTGACTCAACACAACCTGATGCTCACATCCATGATCAGCAGTAATGTTTCCTTTTACTTGGACCAACTCCACAAATAGTGTTTATGACTGATGTTAGGCTCAAGCACGTCACTGCGGAGATGGCTGCAGCCGCCACAGTCTCAAACGAGCACAACAGCCCCGAATGATGGCTTGCAACTGCTTTGTTTATTCCACACTCAAAGGGGCAAAACCCCAGTTTGCCAGGAAGATCAAACACTTATACTCACCTGCTAGCTTTGATCCCTACATTGAGAACATCAATAGTGGGCGCTCTGCGCAACGTGCGCTCTTACATATCTGACATATCCAAAAACATGTATCCGTGCCTTGACGATGTCAACATTGTTTTCCTCCGACTCCAAAGGTTGTTTCTTTGAGCATCCCGTAGGCTGTGTTTTGCAGTTGGAGATATGCTTGATGAGGGCATGGAAGGAAACATGCCGTGGATTTTGCTTGTGATACTCGTGTCAAATGGGCTTGTGGAGTTTCGTGTCACAAATGTCCTTCTGGGACTGCTGCCACTTGTACAACCACATGGTCCATGGTTGAAGCACGGGTTACAAACTGCAGGTCAATTACAAAGGCCCCCAACCAACCACAAACAAATTTCCATCGAAACAAGAACCCAAAGGCCGGAAAAGACATTCTGCATCCCCGTTGCTACCGAGAATAGAGTGGTCGGCACACCCCATTGTATATAAAAATAGGTGATTTCAAGGTATGAATTTCGCAAAGCAAAGGTCTTTCAAGTCATATTGTTAAAAACACCTGTTAAAAACATAAACAATTCTCGCACAAAAATCTAAAATGGGTCTGGAAGTCATGGCTCAAGAAAGTAGTCATGAAACGTGTTGTACAAATAGGACAAACTGGAACAAGCGCACATCAAGGCAGGAAATTATTTTCTTATCGATTCTTTTGTTTCACCCCGGCTCAAAGAACAAAACAAAATCATCAAGCATGAAAAACATCAAGAACAAAGCCAATGAAATAGCGCCTCTATTGTAGCCATATTGGCTGGTTCTGTTCAAGAGGTTTGCCACTTTGGGTTTCAGATCTTGAAAATGGAGGCGCGTCCTCTTTGGGAGGGGGGCAGGACATGTTCAAAAGTTGTTTCTGGCACTATCATCGAGTCGGTGGACTCCGCTGCAAGCAATATGTTCACAAGTGTCTAAAATATTTTTTTTGAATAGCTTTATCTGATGAAGTTGATGCAAAAAGTTTGCTGCCTGTATCATGAAGTTTTGGGATTCAATCGTTGGTCATAGGTCATGCGGGTACCCTCCCAAGCGGTCGCAATTTTATTACTGAAAATGTAACATTACACGCTGAAGGCGCTTTCCCTTTAGACATTTCCTTTCATTTGGCATTAATTTCCGTTCATTTCGCATTCAATTCCTTTCATGTTGCATAAATGTTTTTTCGTGCCTTCCATGTTGCATTCATGTACTGTAAAAGGTTCCGTGGGGTTTTTGCCACCCTAGAGAAAACAACAAAATTGTTTCGTTTCGTAGATGGCGCCCGCCGCGGGCGCCATTTTCAAAGAAGGGTAAATCCCAGAGAAAGCACCAAATCACCTCCAAAACACACATAGGTCAATTGTATGTCCTTTCATATTGTTGTTTGCTCCTGCCATTTTTTTTTCATATTAAATTTTAGTTTTTTCAGGGAGAAGGTTTGGGCGTGTCGCAGAATTGGAAGTTACATTTGAGGCCCGCATTTTTCACCTGTCCCTGCATCCTGGCCCTTGTAGTGCTCTTGTTTTCCGTTATGTAGCTGGCAGTTGTGTTTCTGCTATTTTTTGCGTTGGGCACTCGTGGATGCATCAATGCACGCTTTGGCAACATTTCCTGACTGCATTTTTTGGGGCAGCTTGTCGTTATTTGACTCTGTGTGTGTGCGTTTGTGCTTTTATCCTCTCCTACTTGTTTTTTGTGAGTGTATGCCTCTGAATGTGTATTTTGCACGATCAGCCCAACTACCATAGACTAACCCTGTGGTTCCGCTAAGCTTTTACGCTACCCCTTGAGAATCACGCTACGGGGTCCATAGGGATGAGATTAATTTCAACACCCCCTTTACAAGGAGCTACCAGTAGGGAAAATCTCTGGGAGGAATGAGTTCGAGCGACGAAGGAACATTTTAGAAATCCCTCATCAAGCTCATGCATGCATCTATGCCAGGAGAACGTGGCGACCCTAATGTCCAGCCTAACAGTTTCAGCGCACTACCGAGTAGTGATTAAAAATTCACTCTCGGACTATGGCAATTCGTTTACGAACGCTACCGTGCAGTGAAACAATGAAGTGAAACATCATCTCACTGCGCGTCAGTACGTGAACTGAATCTCAAACAAATATATACTGTCTGTAAGGCATACCAATTAAGGTAGCTATGAAAACTCCTTTTCACAAGTGTGTAAAACCAAATCTGACCGTCCAATCGACCCATCCTTGTTCCATCCATTGCCACAACTCCAAATCTGATGGCCAATAGTTGTCACCCAATGGGTCGTCTGTCTGCCATTGCACGCCCGGAAAATCCGCTTGCGTCAATGGACCAGGATCATTAGGCGGTGCAACGTCTGTTGAGCTGTACACGGCTGTCCAGCTACGGACCACCTTTGGTGGTGCCCATGACTGGCGCCGATTTTTTTGCACGGGTGGAGACGCCACGTGTGCAGAAATTGCACAGGTCATCTTGTGCTACCGTAGCAACCAGCAAGCGGTTCCAACTAAACAAGGCTACATCTAGCTTGTTAGGTGGGAGAGAGGGTTGGTGTTCCTGCCTCGCCAACCAACCAAGAACGCCAGCACAAAAGCAAGCACAGACTAGGGAGCGCGAGCAAAATGCGTTGCCACTTGCCGGTCAAGTGCTGCCCGAGACCCACGCAAATGCAAACTTATTAAAGCGCATGAATTACACGGATGGTGGACATGGGCGCCGTGTAAAACGTGTCTGTGGTGAAGCTAGTAGTGCTACGTATAAGAGAGTTACAGGCCAGGAAGAATGAAAACAGACAACCGAACAGAAAAAACAAACACCAACCCAACCAACACAAACAAAACAAACAAAAACCCAACAAAACAAACCCCACCAAAGAACAGGCAAACTTCCTGGCATCAAGCAACTCGTATTGGTCATGCGAAGGTGAGACAAGAGATGAAGAGTGAAACTGGGGCAGCGAATTAGCAAAAGGCCTCTCAGTACATCAGGGTAGTAATCTGTCGAAAGCCAGTCTTGCATTGTGTTATGATGCCGCAGCGCTTTTGAGGCAGCGCTAGGCACTAGGCCTTTTTTCCAAGTTGAGCTGTAAATACTGTTAGCTTTCCTTGGAGGCTGGCGAGAGCCATGCATGACCATGTTGCCGAGTCCCTGTAAGTGTGTGGGACTGCGGACAGGCATAGAAGGGAAAACCACTGCGGTAGCATCCTGTTGCTCCAAACAATCGGATGAAAGGCCAGCAGTGTTGCCTGTTGACTAGCGAACAGTTGTTGCTGAATGTTGCGCAACGAACAGCGGACATGGGCAAAAGCTTTCAGGCATTCAGGCTTTCAGACTGAGGTCACTCCCCCCCAGTGGGGGGAGGAACAGTCAACACAGCCACCTTGCGACGGTGCTGCCCAAACAGCTTTGCAAAGAGGGAGCACAGAAAGGCAAGCGTGCATCTGAAGCTTTCGAATGGTTTGTGTGAAGCATGCAAGGCCCCAACTCTACAGTGAAACAGGGTGAAACAGAAAACGCACTACGCCTATGTCACCGAAAAAAGACTGTATACACTGTACTCATCCAGGACAGACACTGAGGTGCCCGCCTGGGATCTAGCTAACTAACCTGCCTCGCTACACTGGTGTTTCTTGTGTTTTGTTTGTGAAGGCGGCATGGTATAGCTCTATTAGCAGGACTGACACTGAGGTGTCCGCCTGGGAGTCGGCCGTTAGTGCCTTTATGCAATTCCTCATTAAAAGCATTTAAGGGCATCACTGTCATCTCCGTCCGGGTGGGAGCATGTTCAAATGTGTTGCTTTCTGCGTACGG